TCGAAAATATGAATTTTCAGTGGAGTCCTGAATGTGTTTTGAAATCATTTCAGCATATTTAATAGTTGGATGACCCTAAAGCTGCCTTGGCGCGGTTTCTGGCTGTAGGCCTTAGCCAAAACAAGCAATTCTGTGTAGTAGCTGGCCATAAGCAATTGCGATAGGCATTGAGACGCTCTTTTGGCCAGCTGGTTGGGCAATCACTTGATCACTTGGACGTCAATCGCTGTACGGCCAATGCAATAAATTTGAATTTTATTTAACATTTTACCGGCACTCAAAAGGCATAAACGGAAATTTAAAGCAGGTACAGGCCGCAGTAGCCGCAGTAACAGCAATTCAAATAGCAACAGCAACAGCAACAGCAACTGCAACATGGAACGAGGTATGAGGTAAATCCAAGCCCAACAAGGAAGCAATTGCGTTGCAGCTCTCCAACCGAGCGCTGCTTTACGCATTAGGACATGCGTTGGCCCAGTCGGCGGCTGGGTGAGGGCAGCACCAAGGGGCAGCTAACAGCACTCCAAAGCATAAAACAATTTAAATATTGCCGCGCTGCACTTGCAACAACAGCAACAGAAAATAATAATAGCAACAACAAACGGCAAGAAACTGCAACGGCAATGGCAACTGCAACTGCAACCGCAACTGTGCAGTCGGAGCAAACTTGTTTTTTTGGGTTAAAAAAAAAAAAAGGCTAGGGGAATGCATCTGCAATCTGAATCGGCTGGCCAGCCGCTAATCTTCATTATCGCCACCCAGTCTCATGATGATGTTCGTCAACGAACGGTGTCAGCTCTATGGGCAACTACTACTACCACTACCAACAGCAACTGCTATCGCAGCTGAAAATCGCAGCAAGGAAAAGCGGAAGATCAACAGCAACAACAACAACAACAATAACAGCAACAAAATCACATACACGCATGGGCCTGGGCATTAGCCCGTTTGTCCCGCCGTCCATTCAACCAGCGCCATGTTCATTTAAATCTACAACATTCGGAGGGACAACTTGAGTTGGGGACGTCGCGACGGCAGGCAACAACCTGGCTGGACCTGGTATTGGTGCAGGTACTGGTTACTTCTGCCATGTGAGAAAATTGCGCACTTGAGCTGGCTGAGAACCTTCGGGCGGCAGCGGCTGCGGCAGCCAAGATGTTGGCTGGGATCGCTTTAACCCCGTTGCACGTATCAAGTGAAAATTCCTGGCTGACTTGGGCTCAGTTCGGGCCTCCTGCGAGTGGAATGGCCCAGCGTTGGAGAGAGCAGCTTATCGCGAATTCATTATTGAAATAATTCTTAACTCTTAAGCCCTATAACGGTAAATAGCCCAGGGATCTAGACAACAACTTAATGAAAATTGAATTTTATGTTTATTACGCAGCCCGGCACTTCAACTCCCAGTCCCAGTCAGCCAGTCAGACAGGCAGCAAGCCGGCCCTCCACATAACCTTTTAAATAGTATGCCAGACCGGACCGGTCCGCTCCCAACCAGATGCCAGATTCTAAATGCTATTTGGCGTACCTACTCGCATAGGCCATAAGACGCGACCAAACCGAAAGATAGCGGACCATCGTCCACCATTGCGAGCATTTTCCTGTGGCAACAACTTAACGGCAGGGGGGCTTGTGCAACGGCAACATGTTTGCTTGATAAGTGAAATAAAAGTAATAGAATCCAATCCAAGAGTACAATGAATATGTCAGACACTTCAAATACACTACTAAATTAACCGTGTGCATATTGAAGGGTGTCTAAGTTTTAGATCTATCTTTTTCTATTAAATTATTTTTTTTTATTTATTTATTTATTATATTTCATTTTATTTATTTTAGTTTTATTTAATTTGTTTTAAAATCTTTCTTTTTTTTATTTAAGAGTGTATATTTAAATAAAGAAAATATTCATTTGTTTTTCTCTTTTTTTAATTACCGATTTGTCTCACATTGTTTTTACCATCAAATAAACAGCTTAAGAAAACAAACAAAAATATTATGAAAATATTTGCATCTAAAATGTTTCAATATTCTGGCTTATACATTGAATAATTTTTACTTTAATATCTTTAATTATGTCTTATATCTATATAAGATCTCGTCAAATAACTAATTGTGTTGCATATTGCATAAGAATTTTCATTGAGCCGGCCAATCACATCATAGTCCAAGGGACAGCGACATTTAGAACCAGCCAAAGAACCAGGCGAGTTGTTTTACACACAAACAGGTACACACACACAATCACACTCACACACATATGCACACACGCACACACATGGGCGCACAATTCATGAAACAGCTTGGTGCAACTAGGAAGCAAACTGATCTGGCCTGCGAGCTAGAAAGACCTTGGTATGGGGCATTCGGCCTGAGCCCAATGCAACGAGCAACGGCAACCTGCCACACGCGGCCTACGTAAGTGGCAAGATCGCACACAGCCGCCCGAGCTGCCACTAAAGGATGCCAAGCGAAAGGTGGGCAGGTAGATACACACATACACATACACACAGAGAGAGAGAGAGAGAGAGAGAGAGAGAGAGATATACACATGTGCGCATAGGTCCAACGGGCTGCATGTGGGATGGCTATTGCTGCCGCAGTTTGTGCTGCTGCTGCTGCCATGCCCCCAAGTTGTTGCATTGATTTAGCAAACATGCATTTTTATAGCCTTACAACGCGCCCAGGCAACAACAAGTTTCTCTATTATTTATTCCAAGCTGGCGGCCACAGTCCACGATTGCACTGTTTCTATTTTCTACTCTTTTTATACCCTCAGCCCACTGAAAATGGTTGCAAAGAGTATAATAGTTTTGTGCTCATGTATGTAACAGGCAGATGGCGCCATTGTTCGACGAGTAGATCCATTTACCACTGCCTAATTGTCCAAGATTATAAACGAGAACGAGAATCAATATCAACATCATATTTTCGTATCATACCTACAAACACAATATTTGGGAGGTAGGATATTCAAGAGTATATACAGCTGATAATTATATCGCTTTAGCATCCAATATACAATATATATATTGAAGCTATAACGTTAGTCTTCGGGATTTTCATATATTTGTATGACGGACAAGAAACATCGATGCAATTCAAGATCACATTTCTCATAGGCTGAGACTAGACAAGGCAAAAACGCTTACGCGAGGCCCGGGTGCAGGGTATCTCGCAGTCGGACAAGGCGACTGTATCATTTTAACATGTTTTCCTTTCCAGATCTTGCCCGCTCCTCTGATTATTTTGATAGCGCTCAGCGCGCAGCTGCAGCAGCCAAGACCGCTCCCACCTGCCCCCCTGGCCCGCCCCGCTAGCTGGATTAAAGTGTTATTAATGTTTATTATGCCTGAATGAGTTTTAATGTTTGCTGAAGTTATCATTAAAATGTTGTTAAAAAAAAATTTGAATACCATGTGAGAAGAAACCGCGCCATTGCGATGATCAAAGTGAAAAACGGAAAACAACGAACAACACTCCACTGTCCACAACTTGGCAACGATTTGGTCAACAATGTCTCTGGCCTCACTGTAATTGGCCAACGCCAGATCTTGGCTCTCAGCTCGGAGAGCTGCCCCCGAAACCAAGTTGAAACCTGGGCAGGAAGAGCGTGTACTTTATTTTGATTGGAGCTGCCATGGAATTTCTTTTGTGTGTTCGCCAGAGATTTTTTAATGATCGGTGACAGGATTATTAAAGTCATTAAGCGGCCACTTGCAGTTGTTGTTCAAATCGAGTTGTTGTTGTTTGTGTTGTTGTTGCTGTTGTTGTTGTTGCTGCTGGCTTGTTCTCAATGCCGGGACTAATAATGTTAACTGTAACTGACAATGGCAGCAGTAAAAGTTGCATCCACCGCTCGTATGCTGATCCCCCGTTGATGCCTCTGACATGGCTTATATTATATAGTCAGATCGTGATCATTGAGGCGCCAAATTGAATTATGGATTTCATTTAATTAGTGGATTATTTTTGCAAGATCAAAAATTGTATTCTATATGCTTGTAATTTTAATTTGCAAGATCTGGCTGTATTGCGAGTATGCAATTCGAATGTTTAACAGATTGCGTAAGAAGGTTTGAATCAATAACTTATTATTCATTGGCTTCGTTATGTGAAGTTAGTTTCCATATATATTATAAAATATGTATTATAAATTATAAATTTGAAATTCGGGTCAGATTGAAATGAACATTGAAGTTCAGTTCGAAATGTATTTAGGCTTTAAATTAGGCTATGCATTATTAATACTATTTACATGTCAATTACATTCGACTACAGCTTATACAAATGGTGGAGTTTACAGAGAACACCCTCAGGATAAACCTTTACAATCAGTCAGTCAGCCAGTCGGGACAATGATTTTTGTATATTATATTCATAAATTATTCTAAACACCAAATAAATATATATATTTGTGTATATTTTTACTCTCACAACCTTCATATATAATTCATAGTCATGGGCACTTTTATATTGACAACACATAATTATAGGTCTGCACATTCCTGAGCCTCGATGTCAGTCAGTCAATCAGTCAGACAGGTAGGACAAACAGCTTAATATATAGAAATGCATGTAGTTACATATATATTCTAACAAACTTCAATTCAAATATCAGTATGTTTGGAAAACGCTAAAAGAGAATGAATTTTTATCTACCTTTGTAAATATATACTTTTCTTATTTCTATTCCATACATAATGGCTAGACGAACTCAGCTTTTGATGCTGAGCAGTAATTTATTTGCTTTATTGGGTCGGGAAAGCCTTCTTCCGAATGTTACAAACCGTTGCACAAAACTATTATACCTTTTTTAAATTTTTTTTGTCAATAGGTTTAAGGTATAAAAATATTTACATTCAAAATTGCAAAGCAGCAATTTTATATTAATTATAGGTCTGGCGTTTGGCTTTATTGCACAGCTGGCCTAATCCCAAAGCCTTTTGCCTTTTGGTATATCGGCATTCCGAAATAAATCCAGTATGATATAGAACCTATTCAGTGCTAGTCACAGGGACTTTTGCAATGTGCAGGATATTTCGACTAATAAATCCCGCTCCGCTTGTGGTTCGAATACGTTCTAGGAAATGTTTCACCTATTTATACCGCGTTGTGAAGTTCGTCGGTTACGCACCACCAAAGCAGAATGTACAGCGATATCTATACCTGTTTTGGTCTTGTTTTGTGTTAATTTTTTCGAGTTATATGTACCCATTGGCCTTTCACTTAGCCTAGCTAAGAACTTTTCGGATTTTACACCCGGTGATTTTCTTAGCGTGCTCCAAATTTTTTTTAACGCCAGCGGAGCTACTGCAAAGACAATCGTGGTCTTATTTTTGTTTTCGCGTCTGAGTCAAATGGAGTCTGTACTTGACGCTATGGACGAGAGACTGAGTTGTGATAGCGATCGCCGGAGGATCCATAAAGCTGTTGCTGATTCCAACTTAATTTTTTTAGTTTACGCTATAATTTATGGCACCTTTCTTACGTCTGTATTTGTGAGTGGCATCTTGAACGGACAACCGCCGTGGCTGTTATATAATCCTATTTTCAATTGGCACAATGGGTCGGTCAATTTTTGGATGCAATCGATCCTTGAACATATAATTCTGTCTCTTACGGTGATGACAGTTCTGCTTTGGGATACATATCCTCTCATATTTCTTGTTATGATGCGAGCCCACATCGATGTGCTGAGGAACCGTATTCGAAATCTGCGCACTGATCCACATAAAACAGAGGCTGAAAACTATGATGAACTCGTCTGCTCCATTATGGACCATAAGCTTATTTTGAAGTAAGACAATCTCACGTTTCCATTAATCTTTAACCAATGTGATCTATCTTTGCCAAGATGCTGTGAAATTATGCGTCCAGTTATCTCGGGCATCATATTTGTACATTTTCAGCTAGTTGGCGTAGTTTTGGGAGTGACTATGATTAACATTTTATATTTCTCGGATTTCATACATGGAATTTCATCGATTATTTATCTAACTGGCATCTTATTGGAATCATTTCCCTGCTGCTATCTAAGCGATTTACTTGCCGAAGATAGCAAGCACTTATCGAACCTTTTGGCTCAATCCAACTGGATCAGTGCTGAGCGTAAATATAAGTCCACTTTGATTATATTTATACAGCACGTGCAACGGCCTACAGAGTTTATAGCCGGAGGAATATTTCCTATCTCAATGAACAGTAATATTAAGGTTTGTGATATCTACGTATATGTTTAAAAACATATTACTTGTTGTTGATTCAATGAAATTTTCAGATGGCCAAGTTTGCCTTCAGCGTTATGACCATAGTACAGCAAATGAATCTGGCTGATCGACTAGAATAGGCTCAGCTTTAAATATAGGCCAGAAACATAATGACATATGTCTAATTTTCTGTTGCAGACATTACATATGTCGGAAACGGTTGGATCGGCCCACAATATCATATAGCTTCTATAGAAACAACCTGTTGGGAAAACTGTTTTGTTTTTTCAGGATATTTAAGCCATACTCGGAATTAACTAATTGCCCTGTGCTTCTAAGATACGGGCAAAGCATTATGAGCATTATAAAAAGATTCGGTCTGCAAGGGTATTAAATCGTCGGCATGCCGAATATATACCTTTTTTCTCGATGTCACTTATTTACTTTATAAGCAGCATATAACGAAATATAAAGTTCAAAATTAGTTAATTAAAATGTTAAACTTTAATGGAAATAAATAGCTTAAATAGTTAAAATATTTATCAAATCCCACGTCCGTATCGTTCATAAACGACTGAACAAGTAAATGAAAAAATTGATTTGAATGACTCAAATTGAACTATTGCATTTATTCACCAACCTGAACTAGTAGTTCCTACTCTTTGAACAGTATCTTTTATAGAAGGTTAAGCGATTTGCTGAGTCTTAATAGCATATGTCGTGCAAATTAACAGCTGGCATAATCCCACACCCATAGTTCCCTATTGGGACACCGAAATAAATTCAGTATGATATCTAAACTGATTCAGTCTAGTCACAGTGACATTTGCAATGAAGAGAATATTCCGATTAAGAAATTCAGCTTCAGTAATGGTTCTTTTACGTTCCAGGCAATGTTACGCTTATTTAAAGCGGGTTCTAAAGTTCGTTGGTTTGATACCGCCCAAGCGAGATATATTGCGATATGTATATATATTTTGGTCCTGTTTGGTGTTTACTATTGCCGAGCTGTACGCACCCGTTGGCCTTGTGCTTAGCCTCATTAAGAACTTTTCGAACTTTACGCCCGGTGATTTTTTTGACGTACTCCAAGTAACGTTTAACGTCAGTGGTGCGACAGCAAAAACCATCGTGGTTTTGTTTTTGTTTTCACGAATGAATCAGGTGAAGAAAGAAAAATAAAAAATAAAATGTTTCTAAAAGTAGGCGTTGAATCATCATTCAATTTATTTAATTTAATATTAATATATACTTGTAACACAATATCGTCAAAATCGACTACGGATAATTTCCTTAAGATGTTATGAAACACAGAAGTTGCATGCGTTTCTTTTGCAAATTTTATAAATTGAAATTTAATTTTTGATTTTATTATATATGTGCGCTAATTTAAGTCAATTTTTCCCACAAATCCAAGTGTAAGTAGGTGGAATGGTGTGAATGGAGCGAAGGGAAGCAGTGTGTTTGGCCGATGGGGCGAGTTCAAGTCTCGCAGAGAGAGTGCTTTTTATACCCTTGTAGAGGGTATTAAAATTATGCCATGAACTTCGTTACAACTGTAACGCATAGAATTAAACGTCTCCGAACCCAACAAGTACACATATATATTCTTGATCAGCATCAACAGACGAGCTTATGTAGCCAAATCCGTTTGCCTGTTAATCTATTTCCATGCGAAATATTCTCTTATTTTTAAAGCTTCTTGAAGATTTGCATAGGTCCTTCTTTCAGTTGCAGACGGAACTTATCTCAAAACCGGCTCGATCGGACAAATCTATCATATAATTGCCATAGGAACAATAGGTCGAAAGGATTTTTGTATGGCAAAATATTTTTTATTTTAAATTCATTTTCATCAAGCTCAGCATTTACAAGCTTCACTATTCTAACATAACTACATATGTCTAAAAGGGTATTAAATCTTCGGCGTGCCAAAGAACAGTTATTTTAATTAGAAGCCTGGCCAGCTGTCCTAATTCCAAAGCCTTTTGCCTTTTGGTATATCGGCATTCCGAAATAAATCCAGTATGATATTGCACCTATTCAGTGCTAGTCACTGTGACATTTGCAATGAACAGGATATTTCGACTAATAAGTCCGGCTCCACTTGGGGTTCGAATACGTTCTAGGGAATGTTTTACCTATTTATACCGCGTTGTGATGTTCGTCGGTTACACACCACCAAAGCGGGATGTACAGAGATATCTATACCTGTTTTGGTCCTGTTTGGTGTTTACTATTGCAGAGCTGTACGCACCCGTTGGCCTTGTGCTTAGTCTTATAAAGAACTTTTCGAATTTTACGCCTGGTGATTTTTTTAACGTACTCCAAGTAACTTTTAACGTCAGTGGAGCGACTGCTAAAACCATTGTGGTTTTATTTTTATTTTCACGAATAAATCAGATGGAGTCCGTACTTGACATTATGGACGAGCGGCTGCGTAGGGATGACGATCGCTGCAGAATTCACAAAGCAGTTGCTGATTCAAACTACATATTTTTAGTTTACGCTATAATATATGGAACCTTTCTTACATCGGCATTTGTAATTGGTGTATTTAATGGGCACCCGCCATGGTTGTTTTACAATCCACTCTTCGATTGGCATAATGGATCTACAAGATTTTGGCTGCAATCGATCCTTGAGCAAATCGTTGTGTCCCTTACGGGGTTGACACTTCTGGTTTCGGATACATATCCTCTCATATTTCTTGTTATGATGCGAGCTCACATCGATGTGCTGAGGGAGCGTATTCGAAGTCTGCGCACTGATCTACATAAAACAGAGGCTGAAAACTATGATGAACTCATCTGCTGCATAATGGACCATAAGCTTATTTTGAAGTAAGACAATCTCACGATTCACAGGATCTCTTTTAATTTCCTATCCCATTTCCCATTCTAGATGCTGTGCAATTATGCGTCCAATTATCTCGGGCATCATATTTGTTCATTTTCAGCTAGTTGGCGTAGTGCTGGGAGTGACCATTATTAACATTTTATACTTCTCGGATTTCATACATGGCATTTCTTCGATTATTTATCTAACTGGCATCTTATTGGAATCATTTCCCTGCTGCTATCTAAGCGATTTACTTGCCGAAGATAGCAAGGATTTATCGAACCTATTGGCTCAATCGAACTGGATCAGTGCTGAGCGCAAATATAAGTCCACTTTGATGATATTTATACAGCACGTGCAACGGCCGATTGTATTTGTAGCCGGTATTATCTTTCCTATCTCAGTTAACAGTAATATAAGGGTGGGTAGAGCTGTATGGATGTTTCGGTACACATTGATGCTATTCAATAATATTTTCAGATGGCCAGGTTTGCGTTTAGCGTGATGACCATTGTGCAGCAAATGAATCTGGCTGATCGGTTAAAGAAGGTTACCCGTTAAATATTGGTTGAAACTATCATAATTTTTAATGACTGCTGTTATTTGTGTTGCTAATTTTTTATTATTTAAAAGAGAACTAAACAACATAATGGTTTTGTTCAAATATATGAAAAAGGTAGTAGACAGCATCTTCACACAAAGCTTATTTATTACTGATCAGGCTGATGAGCTAAGTCAATATTGTCAAGTCCGTATGTGGGGCTATAAGAACGCGTTCATCTTGGAAGTTACAAAATCTAGAGATATAGTATTTATTGTAGCTCATCATGCACAGAACGAATTTATCATTCTTTTTAGATATTTTATTAAATTTCAATAGTATCAAAAAAAATCGAATATACGATCTGGCTTATAACCACGACTCGAGAGTTCTATTAGCACATTCCTTAAACTTGGAGCATATTATCGTAGAGTGTATATAAATGAGGAATATTTCAGAGATATATCTCACCCGCATCTCTAAAAATGGAAATAAATTAAATTTGGCATTTTCAAACATTTGACCCGCTGCTCTTATTTACTCATGTCCTATGGACAATATCTTTTAATTCTTATTGAAAAATTAAAAATTCCGTCACGAAAAATAGGTGTTTGCAAATTCTATTGACATGCATTTATGGATAATTGTAGGTCAGAACTTTTGGGGGCGTGACAAAAACATCTACAGTCGCGGGAATAAAGCAGGTGCTCAGTTGACATTTGAGTCGACAAGTTAGTTTTTTAGGGGCGTGATTGACACCTCGCCGAGGGGAACAGCTGGTCGAATCTCATCGAAATTTATTGAACAACTATAAAAGCATAGAACATTCCATTCTGGTGACAGTGACACATACAATGTGCAGGATATTTGAACCCAATTTGCAGCACCACTTTCGCGGCGCTTACTAAAAACGCGTATCACCTAGTTTTACAGGGTAATGGTGCAGTCATTTACATCTTAATAAGTATCTGCGGGAAGGTGAATGCATTTAGGTCAACAATGCAGTGTAAGTTATTTATATTCATTTATTACATTTATTTTATTTTAATTATTAAACTTTTTTTGTTAATGTTTAATAATATTAATTAAATTATTTATATATTTAATTTTATAATTTTCTTTTAAATTTTTTTATTTGTATTATTATATTTATTTTGTTGATTTTATTAATTAGTTTATTTTATTTGTTTTATTGTTCAATTATAAAAAAGAAAGTTTTTAATTTCTTGCGAATGTAATGCAATATTTCCATAAATATCATCAGAAATGATATTATTTAACATGTAGAAAATTTTTTTCAATTCAGTTATGCTTTAAATGGAATATTATAAAATGACAACTGAAAAAATAAATAAAAGGCAACAGCACACAGAACAATACCTCCGACTGCAAAAGCCGTGACAAACAGAAAGAAAGAACCGAAGATTTAATACTCTTACATATTCTAATATATAAAGTAAATATGTGATAAAAAAAAGGGTGCATCCTACTGACTGGTGCTTTAAATAAGAAATTGTGTAGAAAACAAGCTTGGTACGGATAGTTTTAGTGACAGTCTCTAGGTAGTCATAATTGGATTATATGAAGATACTTTATTGTGCTGCTCGTCATGATTCCACATAACTAACCTACAGGGTCAGCGATATCACTTTCTATGTGTTAAATAAGTAGCTCAAAACAATAAAATTATATTCGCTGCAAGGGTATCAAATGTTAAACGACCTTGAGGCTGTTCGCCCACTTCACAGCCCCGACATAAGATTCTACATCAACTTAAGCAGCAGCACTTTTAATGTTGGCACGTTCATCAAATTGCAGCTTGGAGAGCCAAATGGAATTACAGGCGGGCCCACTTTATTTCTGTGCTCCTAATGCCAACCAATTATACGCCAAAAAGACGGCATACTATCAATTTGGTATTAACTCAAGGAATAGTTGAACAAAAACAAAAAAAAAACTATCAGAGTTGTTAGCAAATTTTGTGATGTAATGACACGCACGAGCGCAAGCCGCCTGCCACGCCCACACGCCACGTGCGCACAAGAAGCAGCAGCAGCAGCAGGAGCATAAGCTCAGTTCTTTGGTCAAGGTCAGCGCAGCAGCAACTACACCAGCTGTAACAAAAGCAAAAACAATTGCAGCTGAGAAGCTGACAATAGGGCTGAGCAAAGTTAAAGTCAAGTACGGCACGCCGAAAATTAAATACCCTTCTAGATATATTGTAATATATGGTATTATTATATGTTAATCTTTAGGGCACATGTTTTACTTAATGGAAGGAAGTTTTCCACTTAGAAGCACAAACTTAAATTATATTTAACGAATTTTTCATGTTAAACGTTTTTGCAGCTTGGAAAATATACTTTTGAGAGTGCAGAAAATTTTATTTAAGACATACTGATCAAGATAATAATATAGTAAAAACTATTTTCAATTAAGTGTAATTTTATTTTATGAATTTCTGATAAAAATATTATTTTTTTGTTAAGCCTATTTTATTCATTTTATGAATTATGTGAAGCTTGTCATTGCTGAATTCGGTCAATATATCTTTAAAAATGGAACATCTTATAGACGTCCACTTCTATAAAATTCGTTACAATATAGGAATATGCTCCACAAGGGTTTGCGAGCCGACCGAGTGGGTGGCTCAGAGTGCTGTCAAAAATATTGATAAATCGTTCAAAGCAGCATTAGGCATTATTGCTGGCAGAAGCAAACGATGCACAGAATAACTTATAAACGGACAAAATAGCAAACGGCAAATAGCGAATTTAATTGCCAACGCGTCGTAGTACTTCAGCAGAGAGCAAACACATAGCGCACTTGGTTGACCGTTAGATGGTCAAGACGACGACAAAATGGAGCACAAACGTGGCTAATTGTAAATTGTTGCAATTTAAATTGTTGCAAAAGAACAGCAAGCAGCAAGCAGGAGGAGAGGCAGCGACTAACTGGCCAGCCGGCCGCATCCATGAGCCATAAAAATGCTGTTAAGGCCTAAAAGCGATTGTTGCATGCCAACAACAAAAACAACAACAACAAGAACAACAACTGGCACCTATTGAACGGGCATTGGTTGTGTCTTGGGCCCCACAATCGTTAAAAGGCATCGTTAAAAGGGGGAGCCGCTGCCTCGTAAAAATTTGCGCATTAATAAACATTATGCAAGATGTGCGACAGACACAGCAAATGAGGCGACACGTTGCCAGCCAATCTCTGATGTGGCTGCCACAGCCGAGCGGCAGCACCCCTGTGTGAATTTTTCGTTTAATAACTGAGCAAAAAGACCGAAGAACGTAGAACGTTGAGCTCATGATGCGAGCACACACAGTTATAACGAGCGGCTGCTGCGAGCGGCAGCAGCAAACATTTAACGATGCGTTTATCGATACCGTCAACGACTGGGGCAGTGGCTGTGGCAGTGGCAGTGACTGTGGCAGCGGTTGTGGCACGATCACAAATACAATCACAGTCGAGTCGCATTTTATGCGCCTTTATCTCCGTTATCAATACGCTTAGAAATGTATGTTTTACGATCAATGTAATTAATTGGCCAAACGTAACTAATATCAGCAACAAAGTCGCCGAGCCTCTCCCTGGGCAGCCAGTTGTTGTCTGGCAATTGGCTGGCAACTTTCTCAATGTAACACGGCTTGTAAGGTTTTTACGATCGCATTAAGTGGCTGCCAATTTATGGGCGCGGAAATATTCTTTAATTTATGATCGTACTGTACTGTACGATACAGTTAAGAGTTGTTGCTACTACGGTTATGATAAACCTTTCTTTTTAATAAAATATAAAATATTTTTAGGAATTATAGAATTACTCACAAGTAGAATATGATTAATATATGTAAGCATTATCTCATATATGCATTTTATGTATTTAAATATAAATTTTGTATTTAATTTTTTAATTTATTTTCGTAGATAACTTGTATAATGGTGGAGGTTGTTAGTATTGTGCATGTAGGTACATTCTTAATTTTGTATTTTAGACAACATTTCTGGAAAATAATAATATATGAAAGTTCATTGCGTATAATATCATATATTCATTGTATAAATATATATCTATGCATATAGTTAATTATTTATTTCAATTATATTTGTTTGATTACAATTTTAAAAAATTTTAAAATTTTAAATTCAATAGAAACTGGATTTTTAGTAGTCAGCAGGCATAATATAATGCATGCTTAGGAGAAGAACCAACTAACATTTTCTAGCTAATATAGTTAAGTGTTTATTAAAGGAATTCACACTTTTGTAAGTAGTTGCTACTCAATTTTATATTTCTAATAGTTATTTTTTATCTTTCCAGGAATTAGTTAAGTAAATGCAGCTAAACAACAAAAACTTCTGACTAAATTTATAAGGTAAACAATTTCTGCCAAATGCCAATGTCAATGTCAAACCCAACTTAAGCATTCAAAGCGCTACGATTTCCCAGGCAAAAGAAAATGAGTGAGCGAGTGAAGGAGGCGGCGAGGTAGAGAAGTAGGAAAATACTTCATCACATTTCCCATGCGGGGCCATTTATGGCAGTGAATGCCGATCTGCGAGGCGGCCTTTCTAACTGTCCCTCTGACAAAATGCCGCAACCTGCAAGTGTAACTGACAAGCGATGGCCCAATGGCCACTGACCAGGCCAATAGACGCAAAGAAATAGTGCGACAGAGAAAGAGAGAGACCGAGAAAGAGGGAGCGAAAGTAAGAGAGGGAGATAATAATACAATAGTATGAGCGTACGAGCGATACGTAGAAAAAATAAATCAAATTTTCTCATCAATCTCATCGAACATGAAAATGCACTTTCAAAACGCATTAAATAAACCATAACGGCACGCATGCGCAGCACAGCCACCAAGTGAACCACCGCAGCACCACCAGCCCAGTTAGGCTGGGCGAGCTGGCGGGGCCGAGAGCTGGCCGAGGCCGCGTAAATCTTTCACTTTGAGCAAAATGCAGCACAGCTAACTGAGGCTAACTGGAAAACTAGCGGCAACAAATAACGTAAACGATAAATGCGCATGCGCAAGTGCAACAGCAACTGCGGCAACAGGCAACGTTCAGCGGCAACTGCAACTGCGGCAACATGCAGCAGGCAGGCAGCTGGCCACAACGATCGGCGCGGCATTTGGCATGGCCCGGCCA